CTGAAAGTTCATGGAGATGGTTGGGAAATCTGTGGGTGTCATCACCACCAACCACTTCAGGTTTGACAATTTTGCACTGGTGGTGAAGACTGGGTCACTAGGTGCATTATGACAACGATGTCTCATCCGATTGCAGGGGTGAGAAATAATCTTTGTCTGCCATGAGTCCAATTTCTTGTGGAACCACTTTACAAAACAAACAGTTGAAAGGTGTTGAAAGGCTGTCTCCTCTCATTTTTTTGAAATCATGAACAGGGTCCAGGGTGGTGGGACCCTCAAATCGCCATGCGCAACATCCAAGACCCCCTTTTCAAATCTGGCAAGCCTGCGGGGGCTGTTCCTCCTCCCCGTGAGTCTCCGAGGGCTGTTGAAACAGCGATTCTGCCTGCAATGAGCACGGGCAGAAAGCAAAATCCTGAAGATTGTCACACCCTGGGATGAATTATGAAAATATTGATGATCTGGGATGTTTTCTTGCTTCACTCTGACCATTTGCCGCAGCAACACATTCTAATGCGTTGTGCTTCAGTGACACTCAGTGACAACAACTGCGGCAATGATGACGGAGCAAAATGTCGTTGAACCATGTTGAACCCTTCCAGATCGCAACACAACTTTTGACTGCTTGGAAAGACCTTGTTCAAACACTGCACCTGCCTCGGCAATCACTTCAGACAGCGGCGCGGCTTCAAATTCCACCACCTGCAGAAAGCAAAGCTCCAGGGATTCAAAGTTATTGCATGCAGAATCTCAATGTTTCAATATATGTTTCACTTGCACCAGGTGGCATATTGCGGTTTCCGGTTCCTTTACGTTCAGCTGGAACTACTGGTTGATGATGGGCATGAGTTGTGAGCAATACCATGGGGAAAGGTCCAAACTTGAGTCCTTGAGGGTTGGTAAACAAAAGGCCAAGAGAAAAGATGTGGGAGCGGAGAAGGCATAGAAAGCCATGGGCGCTAGCAATGAGAAGGGAGATGCGAAGGGTAACGTGGAGGAAGGTGGCAAGATGGTCAGAGCAAGGTGGAGTGGAGCGACTAAGTGGGAAGGAGTTGGGTGGATCGCTGGAAGAAATGAATCCATATCAAAGTGTGCATGACAAATTGCGGGTTTGGCAATTGGACTGCTCCACATCCCTTGCTAAAGCAAGAAAAAAACATGAGAAAAATCAAGCTTGCTACCACTAGCTTTCGTGACAAGACATTGTTCAAACCCTTCTGAAGTGATTGCCGGGGCAGGTGCAGTGTTTGAACAAGGTCTTTCCAAGCAGTCAAAAGTTGTGTTGCGAAGTGGAAGGGTTCAACATGGTTCAACGACATTTTGCTCCCTCATCATTGCCGCAGTTGTTGTCACTGAGTGTCACTGAAGCACAATGCATTAGAATGTGTTGCTGCGGCAAATGGTCAGAGTGAAGCAATGAAACATTAAGATTTCATAATTTAGCCCACAGGATTTTGCTTTCCGCCTGTGCTCATTGCAGGGCCCTCCTGAGCCAGTCGAGGCAGAGGCCTGCCGGAAGCCAAGCTCTAAGGATTCCAAGGTATGGCATTCAGAAATTCAATGTTTCAACATGTTTCAATGATTTTTAATGATTTTCAATGTATGTTTCACTTGCGCCAGGTGGCATGTTAAGGTTTCGGGTTCCTTTATGTTCAGATGGAACTACTGGTTGATGATGGGCATGAGTTATGAGCAAAATACCATGGGGAAAGGTCCAAACTTGAGTCCTTGAGGGTTGGTAAACGAAAGGCCAAGAAAAAAGATGTGGGAGCGGAGAAGGCATAGAAAGCCATGGGCGCTAGCAATGAGAAGGGAGATGCGAAGGGTAGCGTGGAGGAAGGTGGCAAGATTCAGAGCAAGGTGGAGTGGAGTGACTAAGTGGGAAGGAGTTGGGCGGATCGCTGGATGAAATGAATCCATATCAAAGTGTGCAGGACAAATTGCGAGTTTGGCAATTGGACTGCTCCACATCCCTTGCTAAAGCAAGAAAACAAGATGAAGCCCACGAACCCGAATGCTCACACGTATGTTAATGGTACAGATGTCAAAACACATGGTTATGCAGTCACGCACAATACCTTTCTGTAATAGTTTATTTGAACAGTCTTGTACATGTTTCCCTTGTTACCAGTCTGCAGTGTGGAGTGGAAAGTGTAGAGTGTGGAGTGCGGAGTGTGAAGTAAGGAGTGTGGAGTGTAAAGTGTGGAGTGGGGAGTGTAGAGTGTGTACAGTGTAGAATGCGGAGTGTAAAGTGTAGAGTGTGGAGTATGGAGTGTAAAGTGTAGAGTATGGAGTGTGGAGTGTAAAGTGTGGAGTGTAAAGTGTGGAGTGAGGAGAGTAAAGTGGAAAGGGTGGAGTGTAAAGTGTAAAGTGTGGAGTGTAGAGTGTATAGTGTAGAGTGTAAAGTGTAGAGTGTGGAGTATGGGGTGTAAAGTGTGGAGTGTAAAGTGTAGAGTGTGGAGAGTAAAGTGTGGAGTGTAAAGTGTGGAGTGAGGAGTGTAAAGTGCAAAGTGTTGGGAGTGTGGATGATAGACACGGCGACGCCACAGGAAAACCAGCGACTCGAGACAAGACACGTGGATGCAGAAAAACCAGCATTTCGTACGAGACTTCCTCCAATTTTGCAATTTTGTGAACATCATCAAACAGGTTGGAATGTCAAAAAGTGCCACGTCTGCCATGCAAAACAACATGACAACCTGCTTGGAAACATTCGAAAAGGACAGGTTTTCCAGCTTCCCCCATAGACACGGCGACGCCACAGAAAAACAAGCGCCTCGAGACAAGACACGTGGATACAGAAAAACCAGCATTTTGTGCGAGACTTCCGGCAATTTTCACAGTTGGCAACATGACAAAAGGACACGTTTTGCAGCTTCCCCCATAGACACGGCGAGGCCATGGGAAAACCAGACACGCGAGAAGAGACAGGTGGGAGCACCAAAACAAGCATTTCGTGCGAGACTTCCTCAAATTTTCACACTTTGCAGCTTCAAAATCGACGTTTTCCTACGAGTTTTCCTTAGAACCCGAAAATTGGCAACATCAAAATCGATGTTTCGTGCGAGGCTTCCGTCAATTTTCAGCACATCGCACAAAATGCCACGCCTGCCACGGAATTTGCACCTTGTCGCCACTTGACGCAGCCCTGCCAATGCGATTTGCAAAAAACACGCAACGCGACACGTCTAAAGTGCTGCGCATGCCACGAAAAATGACGATGGACACGCCCAAAGTGCTGCGCCTGCCACGAAAACTGCAACACATCTTCTGAAAACGTCGCAAAAGTATTGCGCCTGCCACGCAAAACGATTTTCAACACGTTGCAAAACATGTCTGAATGTCACGAAGTGCCACGCCTGCCACGCGAAACGAAGCAACGACACGTCTGAAACCTCCAAAAATTACCACCTCTGCAGAACTTCCCATAGGCACGGCCATATGGTCCTCGCGCGGACGGTTGCGGACGGTTGCGAACGGTTGCGACCACAAACGCAACGTCGAGCGAACACACCCTCAACTCCCAGACCCCCAGAGTGAAACGGGAACCCTTGCTACGCATTCGGGAAAAACATGAAAAAATCAAGCTTGCTACCACTAGCTTTCGTGACAAGACATTGTTCAAACCCACTGCCTCTGCCTCGACTGGCTCAGGAGGGCCCTGCAATGAGCACAGGCAAAAAGCAAAATCCTGTGGGCTAAATTATGAAATCTTAATGTTTCATTGCTTCACTCTGACCATTTGCCGCAGCAACACATTCTAATGCATTGTGCTTCAGTGACACTCAGTGACAACAACTGCCGCAATGATGCGGAGCAAAATGTCGTTGAACCATGTTGAACCCTTCCACTCCGCAACACAACTTTTGACTGCTTGGAAAGACCTTGTTCAAACACTGCACCTGCCTCGGCAATCACTTCAGAAAGTGGCAACACCTGCCGGAAGCCAAGCTCTAAGGATGTCAAGGTATGGCATTCAGAAATTCAATGTTTCAACATGTGCAATGATTTCAAGATGTTCATTGCACCAGGTGGCAGTAAGGTAAGGTTTCGGGTGCCTTTGTCGAGCCGGAATACTGGTGATGATGGGCATGGTTATGAGAAAAATACCAGCGGGAAAGGTCAAACTGAGTCCTTGAGGGTTGGTAAACCAACGGCCAAGATAAAGGATGGGGGAGCGGAAGAAGGCCTAGAAAGCCATGGGCGCGACCACAAGTGAGAAGGGAGATGCGAAAAAGGGGGGTAACGTGGAGGAGGGAAGGTGGCCAAGGGGTCAGAGCGAGTGGCGTGGAGTTGAGTAAGTGGGAAGGCGTGGGTGGATCGCTGAAGAAATGAATCCATATCAAAGTGTGCATGACAAATTGCGGGTTTGGCAATTGGACTGCTCCACATCCCTTGCTAAAGCAAGAAAAAAACATGAAAAAATCAAGCTTGCTACCACTAGCTTTCGTGACAAGACATTGTTCAACCCACTGCCTCTGCCTCGACTGGCTCAGGAGGGCCCTGCAATGAGCACAGGCAGAAAGCAAAATCCTGTGTGCTAAATTATGAAATCTTAACGTTTCATTGCTTCACTCTGACCATTTGCCGCAGCAACACATTCTAATGCATTGTGCTTCAGTGACACTCAGTGACAACAACTGCGGCAATGATGAGGGAGCAAAATGTCGTTGAACCATGTTGAACCCTTCCACTTTGCAACACAACTTGTGACTGCTTGGAAAGACCTTGTTCAAACACTGCACCTGCCTCGGCAATCACTTCAGAAAGTGGCAACACCTGCCGGAAGCCAAGCTCTAAGGATTCCAAGGTATGGCATTCAGAAATTCAATGCTTCAACATGTTCCAATGATTTTCAATGTATGTTTCACTTGCACCAGGTGGCATGTTAAGGTTTCGGGTTCCTTTATGTTCAGCTGGAACTACTGGTTGATGATGGGCATGGGTTATGAGCAAAATACCATGGGGAAAGGTCCAAACTTGAGTCCTTGAGGGTTGGT